TGGGTCTCCTCAGGGTGCCGTCGGCCAGACAGTGCCGGCTGGCGACCCCAAGGGGGAGGGCCTTCTCTGTGGGAGCTCCCACCCTCTGGAATGAGCTACCCCCAGAGATCAGGGTGATCCCTGATCTCCCTTCCTTCCGCCGCGCCCTTAAGACATGGCTATTCCAACTTGCAGGACTGGCCTAGGGGAAAATTTTAATAGGGTTTTAAAGCAATTTTTAAATTAACTTGACCAAATTACTAATATTTGTTTTTACTTATGTTTTTAAATTGTAGTTTTTGGGGATTAGTGTTTTATCTGGTTGTTAGCCGCCCTGAGTCCGTAAGGAGAAGGGCGGGATATAAATTAAATTAATAATAATAATAATAATAATAATAATAATAAAGTGATGCTTCAATTGTTTTAAGATTGCATTTAAGGCAGCTATTACGGTACTACCTTAGCTTTCTTTTGCCATAATTGTTCTACTTCTGTTTGCAGGTCTTTGTATTTTGTTATCTTCTCCAGTTGTTTTTCTTCTATTCTCTTGTCTCCGGGTATTGCCATGTCCATTACTAAGACTTTGTCTTTGTTATTGACAATTAAGTATGGGATATTATGTGACAAGTGTCTGTCAGTTTGAATTCTAAAGTCCCAAAGCACTTTAAATCCTTCATTTTCTATTTCTCTATGTTCCCACCAGTTCTTGTTTGCAGACAAATGATATTACTTGCAGATCTTCCAATTATTATTGTGTACACAAAAATGTGAATTCAGAGCTTCCAGTTCTTTAGCTGGTGTTGGCCTTCATGCACGAGTTCTTTCCAAGAACTTAGGATGTCATAATATATTGGCATAGTAGATCCAAGCAATGTATACTTTGTAAGTAATAGGTGGAATGCACAGATTTTCTAAATGCCATCCAAGATTTGTGCTGATAACCAATGGGACCACTATGGATGATTTATGCCATAATCTTTCCATTTTGATTTTCAGATCTTGATACTTTGTGTAATCTGGTATGCTAATTTAACATTTTGTATTCAAAAATCTCACAATATACTGTAACAATAACACATAATATATTGTTATTTATTACATTTATACAGCTGCCCATCTCACACAGGGTGACTTTGGGTGGCATACTATGAAACAAATAAACCTTGTTTTAAAACCACATAAACACTTAAATAATTAAGCATAAAGAAGAATAAGATTTCAAGAAAGTTAAAATCAGAATGTTATACATGGTGCAACCAATGTGTGGGCTCCCTGCTGCCAGGAGATCCCTTATCAACCTCCCAAACTGACAACACTCCCAAAGAGTAGGAAACACAAGATTAGTTAATTTTACTTTATTATAGGGCTACATTAATAAATTCTTGCCAGACTAAAATACAAATCTCCTATATTATGAGATTTTTGAATACAAAATGATAAATTAGCACACCAGATTACACAAAGTATCAAAGTATCTTTTCACCTAATTGGAATTGGTCAATGACTCCAAGCAGCCATCTGAAAGAGATTTGGTTGAAGCACAGCTGCAGCAGGACAGCCCTGAGGCTTCAGGTGGGGAAAGCATGCAGCTGCAGCCAATTTGATGAGGAAGAGGAACTGCTTGATCTGATCTGAGGAACTGATCTGAGAACACATAGGATAGAGAAAAGTCAGGCAGCAAAA